CAGCCCCCCGCCGCCGGTCCCCCCGAGCCAGGCCCTCGCCGCCTGCACTTTAGGCGCTGCTGCCGCCGCCGCCGCCGCCGCCAAACCCGAGGAGGGGGAGTACAAATTCGGAGCCAGGGTGAGGAAAAACTACCGGACTTTGGTGCTGGGCAAGAGAGCCACCCTCCCGAGCTCAGACCCGCTCAAACCAAATCTGAAAACGGCCCGGAGCCCCCGGCCGCCCCCGGGGAAGCTCCTGGAGGCCCCCGAAGGAACACTGGATGACTTGGCGGTGCTCAGCCGGCGCAAGAGGGTCGCCAGCGCCGTCGCCTCGACCGTCAAAAGGCCCTTTAACTTTATGGGCAATTTTCCCTGCCCGCCCTCCTTGGTGGTTGGCCTCGATGGGGATTTGTTGCCAGCCTACACCTTGAACACTGCCAAGGATGCCCAAGCACCTCCCAAGGCCCATCCTGTCTGGAGATGGCAGCTGGGCGGGTCTGCAATACCTCTTCCACCCAGCCACAAATTCAGGAAATTTCATTCGTAACCGAGATTGAATGGGAACCCTACTTTATTATTTACACCCCCACACCCCGATCCTTCTTTTCCTTACGTTTTTTGAGAATCTACTCTGGATGGCTTCTCCCGTGAAGATCTTTTTTGTTTTTAATTGTGGGTGTGGGTGTTCCCCCCCCCCTCCTTTTTGGAATCCTGATTTATCCTGTTTTTAAGAGAACAAGAAATCGGATTACTATTTTCTTTGCCATGAAAATAACTAGGGGGGAGGGGAAGGGGGGGTCTAACATTCCACAGACTACTTCAGGCGAAAGACTCAAGTTTATTTTAAAAAAATATGGTTTTTTTTAAAGAAACTCAGTGAAATCTGCTAAAGCTGGAACACTTTACTGTCTCAAAATGCTAATAATGCACCCGGTACCTCAATTCAACTGCTACGAATAAATGTTTGGAAAAGGTTGAATGATAACAATTCGAATGAGCCATTAATATGTATGCACTAGATTTCGAACCTGGAAATCTAAACGTTCAATTCCGTTCAAGCTTGGTCAGTGAGGAGGTTTGCACAGTGAGGATTCACTATAATTGGGGTGGGGGGAGAAGTCTACTTTGTTGTCAGGTCTAGGGTCCCTTCTTCTGTTCTATTCCCACCCCACCCTGCCCCTTGTCTTTTCCCCACAAAGGCAATTCCACTCCCGCATTTCTCAAATGTTGCTAGCTGGTGTGTTTCTTTCCAGCACTGGGAAAGTTGCCTCATCGGCCAACTCCATCCATGTCTATTGGAAGGCAGAAAGAAAGGTGTCATACAAAAAAGAAACCTCAGCAACCAACCATCCTAGCTTGGGAGGAGCCCACCCTTTGCAAAGGAGAAGTCCTCAGGTTGGCCACTGGTGTCATATCTTGGCCTACAATAGGCGATCCAGCCTGTCTCAGGGCTCAGTCCTGTGCACCTTGGCTTGGGGACTCCCTGTGAATTCAACCCGGGCCTGCTCCCGAGTAAGTGTGCACAAGGACTGCAGCCTGGAAATCGTTGGGATTGTCGTGGAATTAGGTGGAGCCATGTTACATTGGTGGAGTTTCCACAAAACCTGTTCCCTCCAGATTTGAAAAACTGGTGGAAATCTCACTTCTCTTGTCCTATTGGTGGGAATCAAAAGGAAATGAAGGTTGTTGTTGTTTTTAGATCCAACAGAATAAATAACTACAGGGGTCCCAGTAGAAAGAATATTCCGTAAGGAGAATCCCATACTCTTGGCGGCTGTTTTAGCACCCAAACTCAGGCGTTTAAACCCAGGAGATGTCACTGTTTTTCCTCTCTATCTCTGGAAACTTGACTCCCCCCATCTTTGTAGCAGGAGCATATTTTTTAATGCACGTGACAATCAGAGGCAATTGTCTGTATTTGCACTTAAATCTCGACATAGTTGAAACAGGCCGACTTCTAGAGTCTAGCCTTTGGTAAGACATGCCGGTGTAATATGTTGTGATAATGGAAGCAGTAAATCAAAATGATGGAAAATTTGCACTGTTGGAAAAAGCATGCTTTAGCTTTATTTTCAATTAAAACACTGTTTTAAAAAATTAACGATTTCATGCACTTATTGCAGGGTTAACCACCATTGTTTCCCTGATTTGGCGCGAGTGTGCATGAGAGAGGATGCGTGTGCGGAAGGAATTTTGCTTCTAGAGGTTGATTAGTGTTTCCTATAAAACTGTGATGAA